AAAATCGTCCAGCTGTCAGTCGCTACAACAGATTCAGAAGGTTTGATAAAGTTGATCAACTCGTATGCAGATGACACCACGTTATATTCATTTAAAAATGTCCAAATTTCCCGCTTGATTATTTTATCAACTGCAATATTTAGCCAATCATTATCTAAAAGTCTCCTTTCTGGTAGAAATCAGTAAAGGTTTACAATGAAGTGAAAATAAAAAGCTTATAGCCAAAGGTTTGTATTTTGCTTAATATTGCTCATTTTGAGATTGTTTTTCATCCGTTTTGCTGTTAAACCTAAACATTATATTAAAAAAAAGTATTACCAACTAATTTGCAGAAAGTCTGCATAGACCTCTTAAACCTGCTGGCCAAAATGATATCATCTTAAACTGCAGCTGTGGGCCGCACAGAATCACTCCAAGGGCCGCAAATGGCCCACGGGCCATACTTTGGACACGCGTGGTGTAGGCTAAGCTGTGATGAACACTCTAAAGGTTTATCGGTTATAGATGCACATATTGGTTAGGTTCTGAAAGTTTTATTAGAGTCCATCCAGTGGTTCATGAGATATTTAGCTAACAGACAAACAGGGTTGTCTCCAACAGTTAATGCCAGTTTGAGGCCAAGACGCACTTGAGGTATGTGTTGTGAAGGATTCTCAGCTGCTACACCAAATTTTAGGCGTCTGTGAAATTGACGGAGTTGTAGACATTTTTGTTTTTTTCCCAGTGTTATTTGTCTGTGGCGGCCATCTTGAATCAGGCTTGCTTTGAAAAGTTCTCAAACACGTTTCATTGAAGTTTGTCCGGTGGTTCGTGAGACACTTTGGTAAAACCAGACTCACAATCGTCATAACAGTTTACATTTTCTCAAATTGTTTCATTATTTTTGGGTTGTAAAGGTTTGAGCTGTCGCTAAATCAGTTCTTTGTAACTTTAGGGTCACACACAGGTGGTCGGATTTGAAGTTTTTCTACTTTGTTTTCATGATAAAAACCTTTTTCTCTTTATTTAAATGGATTTATGTATAACTTCACTTTTATTTCTTACAAATATTTACTTAACATTCCTTTCTATACTGAAACTGGAGTATCTCAGGTTTATTTCAGACTTGAACCCCTTGTGAACAGTAAATTACAGACTAAAGATGGTGATATTTTAAGCTCATGGTGCAGCATTAAACCCCTTCCAGCCACAGGTGTATAACCAGGCCAGTCTGGACTCAGTGACCTCAGCCTCTTTTTGAATATCAGAAATAAATCTCAAAGATCTCCTGCAGTGGGGTTTGTGTTTCTGCCAAGCATCTTCCCTGAATACTTCATTAGTTTTTTTTTTTAATCTGGCAGAGAGTTTGAACATCTTAAACCTTGATGTAAATCTCCAAAGACTAGAGCAAATAGTGAAGCCAATTTCATTTTATTTCAACATAAAATGTTTCCTCAAGTAAGCAAACCAAAAATAATTCCTGCCCAAGTTGTCCATCAAAAACAAATGTTTAAGAATAACTCTGTAAATACCAAAAACAGTTTGTATAGTTTGTGTAAAAAGTGTTTTAAAGGCCTTGAAACAAACATTGTTAAACATTACAGTAAACAGCGCATTCTAGTGGACAAACACTGGAACTGCAGGCATGCTGCGAGCTTCTTCAAAAAACCACAAGACTAAAAAACATTAAGGAAAGGCAATAATGTTTTTTATTTTTCATGATGAACAAGGTACAGTTTGTGTAGAGTTATTAATGTTAAAGGTCCTGCAGTTTTGTGATGGACCTCTCATGTGATGATTTTATATGTTGGCATGCATTTAGTGAAAAAACACAGCTCAAAATTAAATCCATGACACCCTTGAATGTAAAAACATGTAACAACAAATCACTTTAGCCTGGCCATTCTGACATCAATGGTCATGTAAACAAAGTACAAGTTTAAATATTACAAATATAAAATAAGATTAGTTATTTTTTTTGCCCTGTAACGACAACCACAGGTTGTTCTTGTTTATAATAGGGAACAAAATATTCCTAATAAACAAACAGCAGTTTTCAATCCATCATGGGTTATTTGTCATTAATAAGTGTGTGGCGGTATTTCACATTATAAAATAAACAGAGGAGTAAATCTTTCACATTGCTAAACGATTGCCAGGGTGAAACGTCTAACGTGAGTTTTTCATTTAAATAAAACCAGAGTGGCATTCTTCCTGTGCTGAGCTCTACATCTGAGGGCATAACTTGGATTATTTTAGAAAAAGTTAGCACATACAGTTTTCCGAATGTAACTGCCGAGTGTGCGTACTGTACAATCCAACACCGCTGCACCGTAAACACATCATGTGCATAGTCTTTTAAAACAGGCGTACAGCAGCTACGGACATGCAAATACAGAAATCAGTACAAAAAAGTCAAGTCACTTTTTTATACATTCAACACAGAAGTGCTGAACTAGTGTGTGTGGAAGCATCAACTGCTGAGTAATTGTACTGGATCAAGAGACACATTCAGTCAAGAAAATGAAGCGAAACGTGAACAAAAGGAAGAAATGTGGGTAAAAATGTTCTAATTTGTTGCTTTAAGATCTAATATAAAACAAATAGTGCATTAAAAGTAAAACTATTTGCTCATTTACCTTCTGACCTAAGATGACATTCTTTAAAGTTCAACACCAGTGTGGAGAAGTCATGCATAGATTTGTAGGAAAGTCTGCATTGGCACTATGCTTCCATCTTAACCTTACATCAGTAGCCAGCTTACAGACATCAATTCGTTTTAGTTTAAACAATAACCAAACTTTTCGGTGGTTTCCTGAAATATTCAGACATAAATTAATGGATTTTTTTTTCTCTAGACAAAACAAATAAAACAAGTAAACTGTTCACAAGTTTAACTTGAGGTTCTGTTTGCAGTTTCAGACCGCAAGAATGAAAAATGTGACACAGCTTAAGATTTATCTTTCAGAAAAACAATATATTTTGTTTAATAAGGGTGTAACGGTAGGTCCAAGTCATGGTTCGGTATGTTTCTTGGTGTACGGGTCACGATTCATTTGGCACAAAAGGAAACAGAAACTAATGCCAAATGTTACCGACTTATTTCTTCTATAGTTAAACAAACAATAACTCTTCCAGAAGCAGAAACAGACAAAGCAACCTTACTAATGGGGATAGCATCACGCTGTTCTTTCTTTTTCATCCAGTTTGGACAGTAAGCAGCGTCTATTTGTCATACAGAATGATTTATAAACTCCAGAAAGGTATCTATATCTTGGGTTAGAAAAATACTGGGAAAAAAAGAACTAAAGAGAATTGGCTTTAGTTAATTTAACCAAAAAGGGGGAAAATGTCAAACACTCAGCAAGTGGATGCTATTTTGTGGGAAAATGAAAGTTGTTATTGATTATTTGGTGTAACTTCTTGCTTTACACAGTAATTAATAAACCAAGGCACAGAAATAGACTTAAAAGAGTACACCTGCTCGTCTCTCCATCTGTACCTTAAAAGTTGTGAACACGAAAAATGGAACATATTTTTGACCTTTTGCACCTAAAATGTACATTATCTGCACCCTAAGGTGTAAAAATGACCCTTTAATGTAATTAAATTAGTATTTTAGGTGCATGCGCCTCGTCTCCTCTGCCAGTGTGATCACTGGGACCACAGTTTTTAAAACAGCTGATTTGACACAGATTTCAAGCTTCTCCACATCATCCTGAACCTCTCATGCTTGGATTTATCTGCAGTGTTTAGATAGCATCTTTTTCTGCTTCCTTTCTGGTGTGGCTTTTAGCAAAATGCAAAGAAATAAAATGTGTCGATACTTCTAGATAGGAGTAAACACTAGGAATGCACGATATTATTATTGGCATGGTATCGGCCGATATTAGCGATAAAGTTAAATATCGGACATTCCAACAAAATAACTCACCGATATAAAAGGTGCCATATTATAAATATATATATATATATTTATTTTAATATTTTAATTTTAATTCCACAGCAGAGAAAGCTACGTAGTCGCTGTAAGTAGGTCTAAGGAAAAAAAAAACAGTATTGTATCGGTTATCGGACAAAAATCTAATATCGTGCATCCCTAGTAAACACCCATGTCTGACATTTGTCTGGTTCCCTGTGCCCAACCCAGACAACTGCACCGAACCGATATGATACAAAGACACACCGTTACACCCCTACAGATTAAAGAGACTGATGTTGGAGGAAGAAAAATGACGTTACAGATTATTTTTTGCACACATTCTGTTTTTCTCAGGTCAAGTATGTTTACTACTTGTTTTATTACAGTTTAGTGAGTTTGAAACTAAGAGCAAACATCTATAAAGCTGTGCACTTAAACAAAACTACTAAAAGCACTAGTTTTCCCAAAGCCATCCATATGCATAAAAGATAAATATGATTGTTTACAAATCACTATATTATTTAATATTTAAAGCTTTAAATTGATTGTAGTACGTGAGAATCATGGGGGGAAAAATGTGCCACGCAACAAATGTGAGGATCTAGATAAACAGCTTTTAAAATATCTGCACTAAGAAAATAGAAGCATGCATTTTACTGAAGTAAACATGTTTTCATTTCCCTTTTTTATTTTCAGAAGACTTTACAGATTCTTCTTTCTGACTTATGATACAAAACAGGGCTCTGCTACCTTCAGGAAAGCTGAAGAAGATCATCGTCATGAAACGTCCTCAACCAAAAAGGACCACGCCGGCGAAAACAAACCTCTTAAACCTTCTCTCGTGTCTTCGCCCTGTGTGCACCTGAAGGTCTTAAGTATAAAACAGGGGGTAAAACGAGAGGCTAACCCAGGCTTATACCTGAAACTGTACAGTTGAAGCCTGAGACGAGGCATGCTTGGACTATAAACGCATGCACGACAGGAAGAAAAGCGGTCAAATTTAAAGGGTTGGGGCTCACACGCGACAGTCACAAAGTTCACAACCCCAAACTGAGTTGTACAAGAGGACGAAAAAAGTTTAAAGTTAAGAAATTGTTGCCAAAGTGCCTCAGGTTATAAACGTCTCTCTTCTTTTTTGTGTCCTTTACGTCCATCTTCCAAGATTATGTCCATAGTTGTAGGCTGACGGTTTTAAAGTGAGTAAAAGTGAATAAAGGGGTGTTGTGCTGTGCAGTTACAGGTAGGAAGATTTCAGTGTGCGTATTAAAGCGTCCGCATCAGGAAAGAGCCTCGTCCTCTCCGACGTAGGGCAGGTCCATGCTTCTCACGCCATCACTGCTCTCCTGCTTCCTAAATAACGCCAACAGAGACACAGTATTAGTTAAAGCAATGCTGTGGGTCAAGCCTAAAAACACAAGAAGAGATAAAATAACGTGCTATAGGATGTATTAGGGAAATCTAAGCTTCCATTTAACAGGTATCAAGCAGGTAGAGCACATAAAAGTACAAATCCAGATTTCAGAAAACTTAGAAAGTTTGGTTTAATGGAAAAAGAACACCCCAAATGCTTAATCGGTTAGCTTGTGATGGACGCAGAAACAAAGACGCAGGAACAAACTTAACATCTTTTTTTTATTTATCTAGCTATTACATTCACAAAACACCCACAACGGTAGGGGACAAAAAGCAAATAAAAACAGTAAAGTTTATAAAATGTACATGTAAAGATGTTCTGGAAGACAAAAACAGAATTTATTGCTGACAGATGAAGGTTCAAGAGATTTGAGATGTGGCTCAAAAAATAAATTGACTACATTTGTCAGCATCTACGATGCAGAACAATGTGAATGGATTTACATAAACATAAAATATAAAGAACTCACAATGATTCATGGACTCGTGAAGGCGATCAACATTGAACATTACCAGAAATAGCCAAAACACTCCTAAAAATCTTGAACTGGAGAAAAACTGCTGCTTATAAAATGCTACAAACGGTACAGTTTAACAGTATAATCAGGAAAAAGTACCGCACTTTTCGTTGTATAAGTTGCACCTTTTTGCATAAATTAGAATGCCCTGCAACTTATACAGTGAAGCGGCTTATTTACATTTTTTCCCCATATTTATAACCCAATTCTTGGCTGAGATTTGATGATTTCATTCATTCTGACATGGAAAATATTGAACACTACCATTTTCAGCCGCTAGAGGGCGCTCAAGTGAAACGACAAGCGAAGTGTCTCATTAAAAGGTAAAAGTGGATATTAATGAGACACTTGGCTTGCCATACAAGCCACCTTCATCTCGCCCCAGAACTCCTGGAGCAAACAACAAATCAGCTGCATTTTACAGCGCCACTCAGGCGAAATGCAGCTGATTTGGCCATTTAAGTGCATTTATTAAGGAAAAGTTCAACTGAGACACCTTTACTATGTCGAGCAAACAAATAATTGTTTTTAGGTGGTTATTTTGGTAAATTTTGAAGAAATGCACAGAGAGTCCTCCCTCTACGCGCTCCCGTAGCTGCGAATCGGCTTTTGAAATGCAGATGATTTGACCGTCAAAGCGCATTTGTTAAGGAAAAGTTAGACTGAGACACTTTTACTATAATGTCGAGCAAACAAATAATTGTTTTTAAGTGTTAATCTTGTTAAATTCTTGTCCATAAAGACAGAAGATAAGTGTCAGTCCAGTAACAGTTCATTAAACGAACACTGGCTGAGCGCACAGATACAGTCTGAGTAAAAGGCTCTAGCTGCTAGCACCTCTACATAATATGCTGCTGAAAACACACTGCTCACAGACGGACTGTTAATGTCTGTATGTAGTACTCACGTGAGTGTTTGCCCCGGGGCACACAAACTGCTGCGGTCCTCTTTCCGACCCCAATCAAAAGGATTCCCAAAAGAGCGCTTCCTCAACATAGTTCTTACCAGAATCTGGAACAAAACAACCGTTTGGACAGTAAGACACAAGTTCAAAGATTATACTAAAACTTCCTTCTTTAAAAATGATACAATCTTAACTTTGGTAACTAATAATTAATGCAGAGAAGCCAGAATAAAAAATAAAAAAGATTATATTTTCATCTTTCATCCAGCTTACATTAGCCACAAATCCATCTTTGATGTGCACATGAACCATCTACACAAAATGCTAATTTGCTGAATGAAACATTTGTAGATTTTAACTGCAGCTGTGTGACTGAGTAATGCTGCGTCTGCTTTTTGACTTAAATCCAGTCCAAGCCGTTTTACTGATACAATGTTGTACTGATACTACTACTACTGATACATTCTACTATGGTATTTCAGCTACTATAGCTGATTTATGCTAATTTAAGTTTTTCAGCTGATTCCATATTTTGTGCACTCATTTAAAACAAAATTTCAGCCCAATTCAGAAAAACGTGCAATTGCCACTTCCTTCTTGTAATTTCAGCTTCTTTCTGCTTTTTCAGCTACTTTTCAGCTGTTTTTTTTCAATCGTTTCAGATTTTTTCAAATAATTTCCACTTTTTTATGCTCATTTCTGATACTTTCAGCCTAATTAAGCAAACGTGTTTTTTCTGCTTTCTTATGCTAATTTAAGCTTGTTCTACCTTTTTAGCTACATTTTAAAGCATTTTTAGCTAACTTAAGCTGTTTTCAGATAAATTCAAGTTTTTCTTGGTATCGCAATTTCTGCTACTTTCAGCCTAATTAACTTAGTTATGCTAATTTTACCTTGTTATGCTCCTTTCAACTAGTTTCAGAGTTTTCTGCTATTTCAGCTACAGTTTTGCTGTTTTGTGCTAAATTTAGGTTTTTTTTCCAGCTGATTCCACATTTTTTTAGCTACTGGCAGTAATTTCAGCTCTTTCCACTTCCTTCTCGTAGGTTGCTAATTTTAGTTGTTGTTGTTTTTTAAGCTAATTTCCTAATTTTGTGCTCATTTCTGCTTATTTTAACCTAATCCAGCAATTATTATTCCACTTGGATTTCTTTAAGGTGTTTCAAACTTTTGATAATGTCAATAGAAAAATCTAATCAAACATGTTCTTGTTTTTAGTACTTCACCCTGTTTTATGGCACCCTGATTTATTGTTTTGTACACTACTCTTATTTTAACTGTATTTTTACTGTAGTTTATCGTTGTCATTGTCTACTGTTATTGTCTGTATGTTCTGTTTGGAACAGGTCTCTCTTGTAAATAAGTCCCCGTGGATCAATGAGGCTAGCCTGTATAAATAAAGATTGAATGAATGAACTGATCACAACATTTGACATAAATTAGTTTAATAAAATACAACAAGTCAAAAGGACACACTGAAAATTTAAGGGCAAGGAATTTGATTTATAAACAAAATAAAAATACTTTAGATTGGATTCTTTGAAATATATCAGTGGTTCCCAACTCTGATCCCTGAGGAACACCACCCTGCATGTTTTAGCTATTTCCCTGCTTCAACACACCTGATTCAGTGATTTAATTACTTCAAGTTCTGCCGAAGCCTGTTAATCACCAAATCATTCAAATCAGGTGTGTCAAAGCAGGGAAACAGCTAAAACATGCAGGATGGTGTTCCTCAAGGAGCAAGGTTGGAACCACTGCTTTATACAATAATAATAATAATATTGTCTGTATATAGTACTTGTGTGAGTAAATTGTTTATGTTTATGTGGCAGGAAAATAAAAACTCACCACTGTAGCTAAACTTGGGATATGTTTGACAGAATTCTCCACTTCTTCTTCAGTCACTTCAATCAGCATGGAGCAGTTGTCATCCTCAAGAGGAAGAGGCTCAGCACCTTGCTTCGTCACCCATGAATGTGCCTGGACACAAAGTGACAGAAACTAATGCAAAGCTCCTTCAAAAGTATTTAAGTGAACTATTAATGAACCAACTGGCTTGTTATGAAATATTTATTTAAAAATGTGTTTTTTTACATTTTAAATAGCTGCAGGGTTCAAGTGTTTACCTTTAACTGTGGCACTGGTAGTCTTGTCTCTGGGTTCTTATCCAACATTTTCAACAACAAATCTTTGAGATCATCTGATATGTCAGCACTGTCGACCAAAAAAAAAAAATCAGTTAATTAAACTGGGTTAATTAAGTTAATACATAAATAAAACAGCCTCTCTGACTTTATCTATAATCAAGCTGCAAAACGTACTGTTCAGGTATCACCACAGGGTGCGTTTTAATTTTTTGATGAAGATTGAGAATACGCTCGTCCATGAATGGACACTGTGAAGACAAGAAATCATTTGACTCTCACACTGATGTTTAGGAGAGACTTTAAAAAAAAACTAGCGTGTTTCTTTCTGCTGAATGCACACACTCACCACGCCAAAGACGAAGCAATAAAGAGTCACCCCCATGGCCCAAACATCCAGAGCCTTTGAGGAAAATAAATATTTGCAAATAATAATTAAAACTATTCCTGTTGTCTGTGACACTTTATAGCAGAACACCAAAAAATATAAGAAATATGGGCATTAATATGAAGAAAATAACTGCATTACTGAAAATCATCTCCAGATGGCACTAGTTAGCTTAATGTTGCTTCACCTTCCCAGAGAAATTCTTTCTGGTCTCAGAAAGTGTTTCAGGAGCGAGGAAAGCAGGCGTTCCCACTGTGCTGGTCAGCAGAGCGTCAGCCCCCTCAAACTGGTTACTGACTCCAAAGTCTGCGATCTTGATGTGCCCGTCTTCTCCCACCAACAAGTTAGAGGGTTTGACGTCTCGGTGGATGATCCTCTGGTAATGTACTGTTAAAAACAACAAGGTCACTTTCATTCTCTATGCCCAGCCTATAATGTGAAAGTAAGAAAATGTGAAGTGTTTTGTGGTCAGCAGCAGTGTGAATCTACATACAACAGAAAAAAAAAACAGCTCATTCTCCTCCTTTGAATACAATGACCTCTATAAAAAGTTCTGACTTTTTTTATGTCTTTGATGCAGAGCCCTTCCCCTCCTTTCCTTTGGTACTAGTCGCCTAGACAACACTTGAGCAGAGCCACTCATCCTGTGCAGAAACGCATTAAGAGTCGACGAGATGATGTGAAATGATCCTTGTGGGAGGCTGGAGTCAAGAACAGCTCCGATAATGGACTCGTAGACAAAAGCAGGGCAGGTTTAAAGAACAAGGGCAGATCTCGATAACGCAGTGAGAGCTTATAATTGTTTATTGAATCGCACAGTTTAAATTTAGACACGCGTCAATAAAACTACAACACAGTTACATGATAGTTTTGGGACAAACTTGTTCCTATTTAAGTAGGTAACGTTAAAGTAAAAAGCTGTGTTGAAACCTGCACAGTGACAGCAGATCTAGATGGGTAATAATCTGAATGCAAACAGATGTAAAGTAACAGTGGGGTTGTTCAGACCTGCCATTCTTTTCAGATAGAGCTACACTCAGGTCTGAACCGCCTCAATGCTCAAAGACCACATTTCTTAAACTGTCTGGACTACTTTTATTCACATGTGTTTGTTGGTCTGAAAACAATCAGTCCAGAGGCAAGCTGGAGGACAGACGTGGGCAAAGTACAGGCTGAGGGCCAAAAGTGGCCGTTGGACAATCTACATCTGGTCCCCAAAACTCAACTGAAAAGAAAACAACTTTTTCAAATGTTGATGAAACCATTTATGAACGCAACTTGAAGTTTAAATTAAACATCTTGGATCAATACATCACAACCTTTAGAATAAGGCTATTTGTTCAGTCATGTTTCTAGAACTACACTGAAAGACTCCAAAACTCAAATATATAACTTTTTTTATCCCATATTTAGGACAATAAATTGTCACAAGAGCCATTTTACAGAAAGTAAGTCTTACATTTCTAGAGTATATTTGGGGGACATATTTTTTATTGAGCATGCTAATAACACACACACACATACACACACATACATACACACATATATGTGTGTGTGTATATATTTATATATATTTAGAATTTGTGTCTTAATAAAATTTTATTTTGCAATTCTCTAAGCGGTCCTTCTATTGCTTTAAATATATTGATTTGGCCCTTTGGAAAAAAAGAATTGTTGCTCCGACTGAATTGAAGCAGCAGAGTCTTCTCAAGGTAAGAGAAAAAAGTGTGATTAGCTGCAGGTTCATTAAACATTTAACTTAATAATCAGTGATCTTTGGGATTTGTTTAGCTTTTTTTATGACCTATTTATCAAAATCCTTCTCCATTAAAGTCTGTTTTGTCACATTTTATTAATCAAATTGGATTACAGAACGATGTGTGGGTGAATTTCTCTTTGGTTTAATGTTTATTCTTATTATTTTTAGACATAGTTGAACCCACTGTGGTCACTATGAGCTATAATGTGTTATGTCACATCAGAGGACAACAGGCCACTGATTGGACTAGTAAGAAACAGTAGGAAAAATAAGACGAGGTTTCAAGACTCACAATATTCAATTCCTCTGAGAAGATCCCGGAAGTAAAAACGTGCTTGGTCCTCACTGAATGGCTTATCTGTTGGCACCTCCATCACTGCCCTGAATACACATGAGGGAGAATTACCAGACACAAACACACACACAGAAAATTAGCAATCATAACTAATGAGATTGAGCCCATTCCAGGATTGCATCCATTTTCATGAAAGCAGCTTAACTTACCCTTGTTTCACCAGCTCGAACACTGCAACAGAAAACACAGACGAAAACAAAGATGAAAACTTTTCCATTTGTGAATACCAAATACAGAATAAATTTTAAACGAGCTTGACATGTGTTTTCTTTACATAAGACTCTTTGTATAATGTGAAGGCTGACCGCCTGGCAGAAACATACCCATGTACAGATGGTCCTCGCTGGGGTCATCCAAAACCTGGCGCCAAAACACAAAGGGATGAAACACAAACACAGACACTCCAATACACAACAAATCATCATTTGTTTGTGGTCAAATTAAATTCACATGCAATCTAGTTTCCATCTTAATCCATCCTCCCTTCTGCTGTGGATGGAAGAGGCCAAAACTTAACCCAAGAGTCTGCACTTTTAATTTATAAAACGCTCCATTAACTGAATTAAAAGACATGTTTTATGATCATAAATCAAAACAGGTATTTGTTTTCCTACCCACCTCTACAAGTTTGACTACATTAGGATGATCCAATTTTTTAAGAATGGCAATTTCTTGATAAACTCGCTCCAGTGGCCCTTTAGGTTGAGCGGGGCCCTCAGGAAGAGCTTTGGCTCCACGAGGAGGCGGTCTCCCTGACGGAGGAGAAAGAAAGAAATGGTGATTAGTGAGGGACAGGAGGAAGCTCAGAAAAGGGACTACAGATAGTTTAGATTATATCTGTGAAAACCATCTGGCCATGACTTACGTGGGAAACCTGCCTGCCTCATCAGCCTCTTCTTGGATAAAACCTTCATCGCCTGCGTGAGAAATAGATTTTGACAGGAGGGGGGAAAAATGTATAAAAAGGAGAGTCCAGAGGAAAAACAAACAGTGACAAACAGAAAATAAGAGTACAATACTTTTTTCTGTTAAAAAAAAAAAAAAAGAAGAAGAATTTGAAGATTTTGTTTAATGTCATTAAAGCAAGTTAAAAACCTGAAGGAACAAAATGACACATTCAGTCCCTCACTACTTCACGGTTCGACTTTCGCGGACTCACTGTATCGTGGTTTGTTAATGCACAGTACAAAATATTGTTAAAATAAAATAAAATTGTACAGGACACGTGATTGCCAACTTTAATATTACTCACATGATGGGGACAGTACTGGATACAGCACAGTTAAAAGTTATCAAAAAAAATAAAATACCGTACTTCGGACAGGCACCGCAATTTTGTAGTTTTCTGTCAGTAAGCCTACACTGTATCCCCACTCATAACGACCACATTTCCCAGAAGTCAATAGGACCTCGCCCAGAAGCCCCATTTCCTTCTGTTGAAAAACTAGAGGGAAAATTTTCAGCTGACTGGAAAAAGTTTGGTGCTTATTACAGTGACTTCGGCACCTAGTGGATGCAGAGAGCTGCACAAAACCCACTGAACCGGACCAGAACCAGAGCAGAACCAGACTTCCAGACCCATCGGTGAATCTTGAGAGCTGGTAGCCCGCCCACTTGGACCTCTAAGCGGGGACGTGCGCCGATGGAGCGGCGGTCCACCCAGAGCCCACCGACACCCTCCTTCACGTCTTTCAACCAGTTGACGAAGATCTCCGAGCGGGGACGTGCTGGTAAGTAAAAATTAGAAGCTACTGTATATATAAGTATGTTGTTAAAATTAGTAGGTTTAAGAGTTTAGAAAATTGATTGTGGGCTTTGTTGCTGCAGGGAATGTCTGCAGAAACTGAACCGAGTCGGACCAGAACGAGAGCCGCTTCTGTTCTGCAGGGCCTGGTAAGTAAAACTTAGTAGCTACATATACAGTACGTAGAGTATGTTGTTAAAACGCTGTAGGTTTAAGAGTTTAGAACATTGCAAGAATGCAGGAAGGGTTTCTAAAGCCTTAAAATATATATAAATACTAAAATAAATATAACATCGCTACTTCGCGATTTTTCATTTATTTTTTTTATTTTTTTTTGGGGGGGGGGTGTCAGGAACCTAATATCCACGATAAATGAGGGACTACTGTACATAGCAGAAGTATGGAGTTTTAAAAATGGTTTTATAAGAATACATAACTTATTAACCATGTATCAGTGTGTTAAACAAAGTCATTAAATTGATCATATTATTGATTAATGCAAGGTTTTCTTTTAGATGCCACATCAAAAACCAAATATAATACAACTAATATGACGTGTAAAGTTAAAATTCTCTGGCTGCAGGTACATGAACCGCATATAATTATGAATTGAGAAAATAGATGACACACACACATTTAGAGCCTTTTCAAGCTTATTTAGTTGTTTAAAAACGTTTATAGTGCACGCACCTGTATGTACAGTATATACATACACCATTACAACACTGTATTGTGTATGTACACACACACACACACACATCATTCAACCTTTATTAATAAATTATTCAAATTTAGACAACACAGAAAATGCATTGTAAATGTGTGTTGGGGTTATGTTGGAAATCAAACCACCAATCTTCTGATCACTTCACTGCCGAGCAGCATTGTCCCCCGTTATTTCCTACTTATTATTACTGAAGCTGACAACTGTCGAGTTCTTAAGAGAGAACACATTGTGAAGGCTTGAACAGATTTTTAATAATCTGGCTCAATGTGCTCAGTTATCATGACAATTGTATAATGACTAAAATATGACATGTGGGTTTTGTCACTTGGAACAACTATTAAAATAATCCCCAACTGATTTTAAGTAGCTGCCACACAAATTTCTGCAATAATTATAAACTGCAGGCAGAAAAGCTTGAGTATTTTACACAGTTATCAGGGGAGAGTCACTTTTACATGAGTTTTTGGATGTAATCAACCAGTAAATGGGACAAGAAAGTGTTGATTAATGTAAGATTAGACTGTGGGCGTAGGGTCTATGATAAATGACAGGAAATGAAAAGCAAGCAACACAAACAAAAGTGTTAGGGTGTGCATAAAAAAACTTACATAGTATGTGTTGTCATCCTCATTGTAAGCTAGCTTGACTACACCATAAGAGCCCTATAAAAAGATAATGAAACCAATGACCAAAAGTAGAAATGAGGGGGAAAAACACACATTAATGTGGAAAACAAACATTAATAATACAGAGAAACACACTTTTAGCACACAGGAAGTGAGTGGGCTGGCAGTGTACTCTGAAAGAGTACCAGCTGGTTCAAAGAGAGAACAGAGAAATTCAAATAATCTCTCATCTCTTTCATTTTTTGATTTCAGGCTAATTAACTGGATCTGGTTTGAGCTATCGAGCTCCCCTTCCCACACAGGAAATTCAGAACAGAAAGTAGGCCCAATTAGAGGCCAGTGCAGACAAATTCATACACACACAAAAACCAACAGAGAGATAGTGGGAGAGAAAGTGGGAGAGAGAGAGAGAGAGAGGAGGATCTGTTCCTGCTGGGGGAGCAGATTGCAGCGTGGAGAGGCAGCAGATAGCTCATCCCTCATCCAAGAGATGATCTGATAACAGGAGCCTCTCCAACCGTCCTAAAAGGTTTTAATTGTCTCCACTGGGCTCAAAACTCCACACATAAACATGTTTGTACTGAAAGCAGGGGTGGGGGTTGTAATCTGACTTTTGATGCATATCAGTTCAGACACGAATGATTCTGTACCAATTTAAAAGGTCAAAAAAATTATTATTATTTAATTTTAATGACATCACTGCAAAAGGCGAAACTCTGAAGTGTGGAGGTGCAGAGTGTGAACAGTTTATGGCGAGCACACAGCAGAGACATCCGAGAGGAAGTGACATCTGCATTCAGTCAGAAGTCAGTGTTTAAAAGTATTTTAGTTTCTTTGAAATTAAAAGGGAACATTATGTTCACAAGCGTCACACTATATGCCAGTTGTGTAGTCCTGTTCACCTCTTGTTCAACTAGTTCCCAAAATCTTGTATGAATGAAAATGGCTGTTTTACTCTGGTGTGGAGAAAAATATCTTGTTTCTCTTAGGTTTGAGAGAGTCGACACTCTGATTTTGTTTGAAGTGTGTTTATGGACGCATCAAGGTGCAACAATAATCATTTTATAACCACACTTGTAATTGAATCATGAGGTGCCCCATGATTCCCACCCCCTACCTAAAAGTCAGACTCATTCTAGTTGAAAAGTAAGTCTCCAACATGTGAACACACACACGTTTGTCTTTCTACCTGTAAGAGAATTTGCATTGACGTCCATTCATTTTTCATTAATTTCTATAACCTAACCCTGACCCTTACCCTAAACCTAACCATTACCAGTACATACCTAACCCTAAACCTAACCGTTACCAGTACATACCTAATCCTAAACCTAACCATTAGCAGCACATACCTAACCCTAAACTTAACCATTACCAGTACATACCTAACCCTAAACCTAACCATTACCAGTACATACCTTACACTAAACCTACCCATGACCAGTACATACCTTACCCTAAACTTAACCATTACCAGTACATACCTAATCCTAAACCTAACCATTACCAGTACATAC